ATGCCTTCTTCAACTTGAACCAGTCAGGCAAGAAAACGCAACGATCCGGTGTTGGTCCTGTGCGGATGGATCAATCGGCCCCGTCGGCCATGGTGTGAACGGATCCCTGGCGTATCTCCAGACTGCGGCGGGGCTCTACCTGGTCGTTCAGGGGTGCACCTTGCACAGCACTTGCGGATTGTGACGACAGGCTGAGGCTGCTGCATTGTTGGTGAGGTTAGGCTATTTTCAACAACAACACCAAAAATATAAGACTCATTCGTTCTCTGGGTAGCGTTATAGGCAAAAAGTTCAATGGTCTATTTGACATCTTCTCCAACGAACAAGATCCAAAAGAAAATCATTTCTGCAAATGTGTTTCCAGGAGAGAGGATGCTCATATTTGGTTTGTGTCTCTCAAACAATCTAGTTCTTCCGTATAGGTACTCTATTGAAGACTGATTTTGAGTCTCTTAATACCTATTTTAGATTTTGGTGTACATGTGAAGACACTCTAAGGGCATCCTCGACACGTAAAATGAAATAGCCAACAAGCTGGAGATTGGAAACAATAAAGAATAGAAAAAGTATACCACATCTGTTCCAAGAGCAGAGGGACCGAGAGAGGTAGACTTTTGGGAGTCCGTGCGAGATAGGTGAGATGAGAAACGGTAGCGTGGTGCTCTGCTCACCTGGGCATTTACATCATGCCCTTATTTAGTTTCTCTAAATTCTTAAAAAATGCACTATATAAAAAAAAATTCTATCACATCAAATTTACGGTACATGCATGGAGTACCAAATATAGATAAAATCAAAAACTAATTGCACAGTTTGCTTTAACTTTGCGAGACGAATCTTTTAAGCCTAATTAGTCAATGTTTGGACAATAATTCACAAATACAAACAAAATGTTACAGCAGAGAATCTTCACTATGCAAAGTTTGCCAACTTTGCCCAAATAAAAAACACCGCCCGTGTTTGGTTCTCTTCCCTGTTCAGCCTTCCTTGCATCTGGGATACAGGCCCTCGGGAGCCAGGCTCACTCCATGCAAGGTTCGATGATTGGTTGCACGCAGCTGCAGCCTGCAGGGCCTGAAATCTAGGAGCAGCTGTTTGGTTGTGCATATCCTAGCTCCATCACACCAGGGCGAGTCACGGGCGGAGGCAGCATGCGCCCGCGCGAGCCAGGCCGAGGGGAAACGCGATTCATTTTCGTTTCCCCAGAGCCAGACCGGCAGGGGAAGTTTGCATGACCTAGGCCTGGCCCGACGTACAATACAGGCATCCGAAGAGCCTGGTCCAAGCAAATACATGCAACCAAACAAGCAGTTAGACGCCGTTGGGGACGCCCTAATTGCTCTAGGTTTCGGTCGACTTCTCGTCCACGCTGGCTCCGCGATCCGCAACGCCGACTTGCCATCTGAGAAAGCAAGCCCGGCCAAAAATGCCCTTTTCAGCCACGAAGATTTTTTTTTTAGATTTAAGCGCAGCATTTCTTTGTGCGCGCGTCTGACCTACTACACTGTACTCTGCAGTCTGCAGTAGCATTTGAAGCTACGAAAAACCGAAGCTGTGAACAACTACAGTGAGGATCGCGGTACGTTGTGTGCGTTGTAAGCAAGCAGCAGATCGACGGTGACTTACACCTAACCATATTATCAGTAACAGTGATCTGTCCGTGCCACGGAGTTATTTTGCACGTACAGTACATCCATCCTTTGCTGTACAACTTTCTAGGAGTACATTTCAACAACCCTGTTTGCCCATTTCAGTTTCCAGCCCTACCAGGCTACCACCCCCAAATCATACGCATGGGAAACAATTCTTATTATTCCGCCAGCGCCGTACAACCAAGCACGTCCCACAAACGGTTTGTTAGCTGATCGAGCCTCCGTGCGATTGATGGATTCAGGTCCCAAACCCTGGCGTATCTGAGCTTGGGGGCAACATGGATTATTAAAGGAGAATCGGTAATGAAATGAGGTCACGCATGACCTCAATTCAAAGGTATTTTGGTGAAGCAGTTGCATTTGATTGTACCCAATATGCAAGCTGACCGTGGGGGACCATGGTATGGTTCTAGAACCGTATGCGTACTTTATCACTAAACTGACCATGATCTAGCAGTGGTCCTATATGCTGGGCGAATGAACTGCAGGATCTGGGGAACACTGGCAAGGCGGTTCTCGTTGTGTTCGCTGGTCTGAAAAGTTCAGACCAGCTGGCTGTTCTCCTCACAAAAACACTGTTCATCTTTTCCGCTGCAGTATTTCTCTCTCACACAACTAGCCGCTATAGTGTTTTGGCTTTTTTTCAGACAAACGAACGGGGCCTCTGTTTGTCCTGGGGAAAAAAGATTTGCAATGTGTGGTGTGCTATTTTTTTTCCTTCTTCTTGAACGTAGCACCCACTACGCCGCAAGATTTTCCAGCACTGCTTGCGATATAGAAATCCGCAATTTGTTCTTTTTGTTTAGGGCATAATTGTACTGCTTCTGAACCGGCATGCAGCCATATTTATATCCATTATTACTCTGCGACCAACCTTACAAAAATAGGCCCGTTTCAAGCGTACGTCAATAATGAATCTGGCTATAAGAAAATTGTTGAAACGAGGCTCCGTTCGCTTCACTGGAAAAACAAGGCAAAACACTGTTCAGGCTGATTTGTTATGAGAGAAAAACATTGTTTCGATTAAAAAAAAGCCGAAAAGCATGGCCTGAATGTAAGTGCGTACCCAGCAGAAATAAAATATTGCAGTGTCAACAGTTCAACACGCATGACATGATACGACATCCGACCTCTGAATTCTGATGCCAACCTCTTGGTGTTGGTGTACCTCTGACTCTGAGGTTTTGATGATAGAAAGGAGAGGTAAAGTTCGTAGTTGCTGATAGACAGATGACAAGAAGCAATGCTACAGCGAGAAGGAAGGTGCAGGAACAGAGCACTAGGGAAAGGAGGCGGCATCAAGCAAGTTGTGACTGGTGAGCCTGACCTGAGCGCTCCCATGCGGCCATGTCTGAACTCCGACCCTTGCCGCCTGCCCATTCGCGCCCATCAGCAACCCACGAATGGCCAATCATCGGCCAGCAGCGGGTTTGAAATTTCCTTCAGTGTTCGTCTCCCAAAAGGTCACATAATGTGGTGCGATAGCGTAGTACGGAGTATCATCTTCAGAAAACCTTTACAGGTTCATGCACTTGGAGACGCAGGCAAGTAGACCATATTTGTGTACACCGGCATGTAGCCTGCCAGACCTTGCATTTGCCTTGACTAGCGTTTACCTAGAGACATCTACCATATTGTTTTGGGACAGTGTCGCTGCGCTGTATCCTAAAAAAAGGATGGATATGACACATTCACACACTGCATCGTTACCTTCAGTTGTAGACTCTCTATTACATGTGGAGACTAATAGCCGTGCCAGCTTCATGCTGGCAGAGCTTGATCGCGTCTAGACAGCAACAACAGGTGGTCCCGAAAGCGAGTTGCCTTATCATTTTCTGCATTTTTCCTCTGAGATACGGAAGCATGAAAGCAATGACAACGATAAAGAAAATTTGTCACGTTTTTCTTACCGATACGATACCGTTGTTGTCCTCCGACCTCCCTGACCGTCTTCTGGCATTGTCACCTCCCGCTTCGTACCGTCACGGCTCATCAATTTTATCTGAAAATTAAGGCTGGTCGGCGGAAACCCTAGACCCAGTGGCTTTCATGTCCTCTCCGTTGAAATTTGCATCATCGTATATATATAGAGAGATGGCAACGCTACCCAAAAACTGAAGGTTTTTACCATATTATTATAACCAAGGGTATATGTCAATTTCTCTACCGTGGGTTTGTTTCTAGACAAAAAGACAGATCCAAAGGGTTTGTGAGTGTGGGTTTAAAGGTGTGGTATCCAAACCTACAAACCCATGTGTTTCTTCAACTTGGTCTATCATGGCAGAGTAGCTCATATCAGTCCAAAATGCTCTAATTTTTCAACTAGACCGATCCATTAATGCGTATATAAGGCGGTTTGCCCATTCCAAACCCAAACCTAGCTCACTCCTTCCTCCTTTCCTAACCGGCCACACTACAATGACAGCAATACGCATCTAAATTGCATATTTTCTCTTGAGCTTGCGCGTCACACTCACACCACATTCGAGAGGTTGAGGCCCCGACTAGTTGATATATGTATGCAATTAATATATAAACTATGGTAGTTGACTGTTGTATGATTGGTGAAATGTGATTTCTCGTCTATGTTATTAACCACACTATGCAGTATGCATACATGACTATGTGACAATTGTAAATATGTGTCAGCTGATTAGTGCTAATGTGGTGTGCCTACTGCAACGGGCACGGACGCCGGAGTGGGCATGAGTCTAGGCTTAAAATTGAATCATTCATGGATTTTTAGTGGACAAATTTTATGTTTGCAGACATGCGACCTTGAGTTGATAAAATTCAGCAGGTTTGTACTCGTTGCCATCTCTAATTGTATAGCTACTAATATACGTATTTTTTCTTTAAAATAAATCTCGGCGTGTTCTAGAGAATTTGTAAATTAGTAAAGTCGCCATGGTGTCTTAAAAAAAAAAGACAATTCCGATCGAGCCGGATGCATTGCACAAGGATGGTAACGCTATTGAAAGAAATATAATATAGGTATATAAAAAGAAAGATGGGCACAACGCCTTTTCCCCTTTGGCGCACTCGAGTGCGTGAAGGTGGGCAACGGGTGATATTTATCGATCGCCAGTGCCTACTTTTCCCGCTATACCCTGTGATTATAGTACATGACTGCATTCCGCGTTTTGTCACCTCCCAATTTGTCTATATATATATAAATATAAAACGCGTCTCCTTTGCCACTGTTCTATCACCCTTCAGTTGCTAACAACATCTCTAGCCAAGAAGACATTGACTTGAACAATCTGCTTATCTACTACCTCTCCCACGCTGCCCCGCCGCCTTTTCGAGAAGTTGAGTGGAGTAGGCGGCGCCCGGCCACGGCCAGCGATGAAGGTGCAGTGCGACGTGTGCGCCGCCGAGGCGGCCTCCGTCTTCTGCTGCGCCGACGAGGCCGCGCTGTGCGACGCGTGCGACCGCCGCGTCCACCGCGCCAACAAGCTCGCGGGGACGCACCGCCGCTTCTCCCTCCTCCACCCCTGCTCCTCTTCCTCCGCCGCCGCACAGAAGCCGCCGCTCTGCGACATCTGCCAGGTACTAGCTAAGCTGTTACTAGTGTTTCCGTCCAATCAAGCCAGCCTGATCGAGCTTGGACTAGCTCGGATGATGCTGTACGTGGTGCTAACCGAGTAGCGGCGCTACCCGTCGGCGTCGGCGTGCAGGAGCGGAGGGGCTTCTTGTTCTGCAAGGAGGACAGGGCGATCCTGTGCCGGGAGTGCGACGCGCCGGTGCACAACGCGAGCGACATGACGAGGCGGCACAGCCGGTTCCTGCTCACCGGCGTGCGCCTCTCGTCGGCGCCGGTGGAATCTGCTGGCTCATCAGAGGAGGAGGAGGAGCAGGAGAACAGCACCACCCCCTGCAACGACGGCTCCTGCAGCGGCGGCGCCGGGGCCGGCGCGACCACGGCGAGCGCCAGCGATGGGAGCAGCATCTCCGAGTACCTGACCAAGACCCTGCCCGGGTGGCACGTCGAGGACTTCCTCATTGACGACGCGTCCGCCGCCGACGTCGTCGGTGCCTGCTCGGACGGCCTCTATCAGGTCAGTCCAGTTCCATCCCAATTCCTAGCCGCCGGTTCGGTGCCATGCAAATACTACCGCAAGCTTCTAGAGCGTGAGCGTGCACGAAGAAACCTTTCACTGAGGCGTTCCTGAGAGCGCCATGAACATTAACTTGTGCATAGAAGTAGTCTGGTCCTGCCTTGCGCCGCCGTACGCGTCGCCGCCGGCCATCTACCCTAACCACTATACAATCTTTGGCAATATATGCGAGCTGATAATCATGGAGCAGTTCGTTGTCATGCTCACAATTGCATTAATAAACAAAAAAGAAAAGCCCGAGCGAGTTGCTGGACCAGTCTGTCAGGATAATGTCTCGTGGAGACCACCTAGATACGATATGATCTGATACGAGCGAACAGCTCGCGGATCTTATTCTCGGTTGTCTCCTCCGTGCTAATTTTTGCGCTTGAAATGAATTAACTTTAACCATATGCTACACTACACATATACATACAAATAAAACAACGAAAGAAAAGGCAGAAATTCATTTCATGTGTGGACTTGCATTTTTAGCAGGGACAACATGGACAGATCAGTGGGGTGCTGCAAGAAGCTTACATGGGGCGGGAGCAGGTGCTCGCTGACGTCGTAGACGAGCGGGCCAGCTGGGAGCTGTGGGTGCCGCAGATGCACGCGGAGTTCGCCGGCGACAGCAACCGACCCAGAGCGTCGCCTTCGCCTCCCTGTTCGTACTGGTGATTGGTGAAAAGCTCGACGTCTTCAGTAAGATGATTTGTATACTGGGATAATTAGAAGGTACTGTAGGAACCAAGAGAAAAATGAGCCAAAAAAGGGAACGGACCGGTGCTTCCTTTGTTCGATTAATGGGGTCGATTTCGATCGAGCTAGTTCGTTCCAAATTGTTCACTGCCTAAAGCAGAACTTTTCGAAAATGGAACGGTGTTTCCCCGTTCGATTAATTGGGTCGATTTCGATCGAGCTCGTTCCAAATCCCAATTGTTTGCTGCCTAAAGCCAGACTTTCTGAATGTTTAGCTGGGTGTCTAAAGATAAGAGAACCTGTGGAGCAAACGCGCGCACAGCGTGTACACGGTGCTACAGGCGCTGAACTGTGCTATCTGTTCGCTTTAACTCCTTTTAGGCGAGTCAGACTATTTCGACTTTTAGATCGCCCAAAAAATCAGAGTTAAGCCCTTTTTAGTCTCTTCATCATTTGATTTTTGGATTATGTATGGAAGCGTTAAATGTAGATAAAAAAAGTCCAAAATTGCACTTGATTTAGTTGTAAATCGTTCGTCTCGTAATTTTTTTTTGAACTAGTTAGTTCAATTAGTTTTTCTTTGTCGAATACATTTAAAACATACTATAGTGTCCAGATTACAAAAAATTGCAATCTAAACCGGGCATATTTCGACTTTTCTCGCCCAAAAAAATCAGACCAAACCAACCGGCTTTAATGCCAGCAGTTCGGTTGTGGCCTGGTCAACTGATCCGGACGTTGTTGTCGAGCGTTCGTTGGCCGCGCCGTGTCGTTGTCGCCCGGTGAGTGGCTGGCCTGGACCGGCCCCGCCTGCAGCGTCGCCTGGGAAACGGGCTTTCTCGCAGCCTGTGCGGCCGCTACCGCGGGCGCCGTGCCTGTGCGGTTGTGGTTCGCTCCGTGCAGCTGCCTGCTGGGCTCCACATCGCGCGGCTACCCTGGGCCCCCATGGTCAGCGTCTCTGGTTGTGTGGAGTCCTCACTGTTTTGCGGGCGGAGCCGGGGTGGGGAGCTGGGGTAAATAGGCAGCGGCCGACTACTGTTCTTCTCCCCTTCCGGATTGCGATTTGTCGCAGGTAGCCGGCTCCGGCTACCCTCTCCTCGTTTCGTTTGGTTCCTTCGCCGGCGTCGGCCGCTTCTTCCTGACTGCCTGTGCCTCTCCGTCGCATGCGGCGTCTTCTCTGCAAGGTCGTGACGGTGTCTGGAGGGTGCTCTGGAGAGTGGTGCGGATCTGTGGGAGCGGCGGCCTGTGCTGCGCCGGGCCTGCGGCTGACCGGAGTTGGCGTCTTCCTGCCTGCTGGGACCGGCGAGGCTGGTATGGTTCTTTGGGATCCCATGCTACTGCATTTGCTGCTTGTGATCGGTATTTGGTTGATCTGTACAGATTTCTGACATTTGGGGGTGGTTTTTTTTTCCTTTTTTCCCGGCGTCCGTTCGCCCTCGATTGAGCATTCTTGCACTGCCGGTGTGTTTGTGTTTTCTTTTGTTTAAATCATCTTCGTTTCCACCTATCGCTGGTGTACAGAAGAAAGGAGACATGTTTGTGGTTGGGACCTCCTACCTCTCTCTGCTGCAGGCTGTGGCGGCTAGATGTGGGTTGCCGTATGCGTCGGTGGTGTTCGAGAGGGCGGGAGACGGGACACCTGTCTACGGTGTCGAGATCGATGTGCCCTGCTTTGGCGCCGTCGTCGCCTCCCGTTGTTTTTTCTTTTGGGCACCCCAAGAAGAATTTTCTGCTCCAGGCTACGAGCAAGCTGCTTTGCAGGCCATAGCTTTTTTACAGAAACTGTATGGGTTCGTCGTGGTCGATTACAATTTTCAGAGTGTAGTGCTGTACAGTCGGGTTGCACGCGATGCCGTGGCTGTTGCTGCTACGGGTACTGGGATTTTAAGTAGGATAGGTGTAGAACGAAAGGACCTGGCTATGCAGTCTGCATACTTGATGAAGGAGGTATCCTTACTTAGTCTTCTTGTTTGATGCTTTTGGTTGGAGTTGTGGGCTACCCTGCAGGCTCAGTTAATGGGTAGTATGGTTTACCTGGTACACAGAGACCTGGGCCTTGTTTGAATCAGTATTCTATAATTATTGTCTAATTCTTCGCTTAAAGATTCGCTGATGATAATCAAATTGATAATTAGTTATTTTTTATCTATATTTAATACTCTATATATGGATTACCTGGATACAGAGAGACCTGTGTAATGTTGTTCTGTTCCGCATGCTGTGTTCCAGTCACTTCCCTGCTTTCTGAGGCGGCCGGATGGCGCCAGGTGTTCTTCTGCCTTGCGTCGATCCAGCTGGTGAAGGAGCATGTATGTCATCTTGAGTGTTGTTTTCACAGAATGAGCTCTGAACGACCTCTCTGCTGCTGTGACGACATAGTCCATTGATTGATCCTTGTTCTGTTATGCCTAGCTTCTTCCCGGTGTGTGAGCACGGTTAGAACTTCCCGTGGTGCTAGGAAGCAATGTAGGTGTTCTGTGAAACTCTTTAGATATGTAGGTGGCCCTGTGTCACTCCAGGGGGTTCATGGTTGGTTGTCCTTTTGTTATAGCGGCGGGTGCATACCACGTGCCGGTTAGTCTCTCTCCTGCCTAGTGTCGTCATAAGCGAAAGAGATATCTGGATCAGCGGAAAATGGTTAAGCGGAGGAGATATTTAGAGCAGCCTCCGCTGGGCTCGACAGGTGTTGCCTCTTTCCTTGTGCTTTGTACACTCTATTTATCTCTGAAAACGAGACGAGCCAATGGCTGCTCGACAGCGGCCACGCCCCACAGAGCTATCCGAGGTAAAGTACCCTGCAGTGCTACACCACACACCGTCTTCCTCCCCAGTCTCCACCTCTTACCAACGGCGTCGCTCTCCACCTCTTACCTGCAGCGTCCGCCTCCCTCTCCTTCCTGCGGTTTCCATGGAGCCTGCAGCCATCCCTTCTGGTGAGGACTTCCCCGAGGACGAAGACATGCTGCCAAAGGTACCGGATCCGGCGCCATTTTGCTTCACACCTGCACCTCTGCGTTGCTCATTCTTTTACCTAGATCTAGCTTTTCCCTGATGAGCCGCTGCCTATTCTGCTTCTCTTCCCGTTGTCTAGGTCCCATCGGTTCTTCCTGTGGACAAGCAGGAGATCTTTGCTCTCGCAGCAAAGGAGCTGAAGCTAACTATCCAGGAACAAAAAACGGTTGAGATCAACGATGACATGTACCTGACCAAGATAAAAATTGGCAATGTGTTATCCAAAGAATCACAAGAGAGAGACAAAAGAATTTTCTGGCAAATCTGCACCCACCAAAAAAATGTCGATTCAAAACCCATATGCTGCTGCAGTGCAGTATCTTGAAGATGCAAGCATGGTCATTGTCGATGACCACAACGCTAGCAACGTTTCTCGGCTAAAAAAGGAGCTCTTTTGCTCCGACTCATGGTCAATGCTGTTCGAATACAAAGCAAAAAAACTCAGCCACACGCTTGCTACGAACAATGCAAAACTCCGAGGCTTCCTATTGTCTTTTGACCATCAGATGCATTTGCGCTTCTTGATGCCGCTAAAAATAACACACCACCGAGGAAGAGGGCACGTCATCAGAGCATCCAGCAAGCCGATAGCGAAGACGCCGCATTGATTGTTAGCAGGTTATCACACTCCTTGGTACACCTGCGTGGCGAGCGGCTCTCTCTTGTTAGCGATCAAGACCACGGCGACCTCCATCTTCACAAAGAGACCAGCACATCGGACAAGGAATCAAATCAGTTCACACCTACCAAGTAGTTTAGTTATGCAGTCATTTTATTTTGTTCGATCCACGCTAGCGTGGATGCCGTCTATCATGTATGCCCGTGTATGGACCTGTTGCCTTGGAAGTTTATTTGGAAACAATGAAGTTCTGCTGCTTTGTTAACGCTGTGGCTCATTGAAAAAATCATCGGCAAAAAAAAAAAAAAAAAAAAGCCATGCCGCTTCTCATTGCGGGCATGCATCAGATAGCGACTCCTCTTGCTACACCGTGTCTTCCGACGAGCCTTTCTACCTGCCCAGAGGTAGTACAAGCTATGCCCTCCTAGCAGCACATTGGCAGTAACGTCGCAGGCGCTCAGCTTTGTACATGCACTTTACAGATTACTCGCCCGCCCGCAGCTTTGAGTCGGATCGAAGCTGGAAGCTCTACTAACGCCATGAAGATCGATCGAAACTCGGCACCTGGCACCGCTTCTTTTGCTGTGACTTTTGCCTCTCGCGGTGTGCTATCCTGGACCCTCCTAGGCACCATATCTTATTAATGCAGCCTACCTAGGACCTTGCTGTATAATTATGTGAAACCTGGACGCCTATCGTCGACCTGAACGCTAGAACTCCACCGTGTTATGTTTCAGTGATGTGTGTATGTATTGCTTTGTGAGACCTGGACACAAACATTTGCATCGCCCTATCTTTAGGCGATGCTTATATGTACTGCTAATCGATCCTATCTAAGAGTGGTTATCCTTTGTAATGCTCTATCTCATGTGTGTTTATATGTAGTGTTTACGCACTTTGCATATGCCTAATGACTTAGGTGCGTGGCCAACAGCGAGCGCATCGGCGCGCGCAAATCACTAGTATGTATGGGATTGGGGGCCTGTTATGTTCTATGAGCATCTGAATGATGGCAGGTGGCGCGCGCTTCCGACGGCCTCTTGCGGCTTCGACTTTGCCGAGCAGATAGCCGTCTGAACGTGGGACTTATATAGGCGAGGGCCTAGCACGCTTTGGGCCCTTTTGTATTTGGTCACTTGTTGGGCTTGCTTTCTTCTCAAAGCACCATGCGCTTGAGGCGGAATTTGGCCCACAAGTAATCTATTCGCATTGGGCATTAATGGTCTTTGTCAAACGGACATGGGCGGAGTAGTTTGCCCGAGAGCGTTTTGTCGGATTACACATTTGTATGTTTTATTATAACTATTAGATATGCACGGGCCACACGCACGTGTCTATAAAAATACCAAGATGGATGAGTACAAAAAAAAGTGTTTAATAATTGAATTCCTACATATACGGCACGCACGTGTTTATAAAAAGGTTCATTCTTAATGGAGGAATTACAGTGAAAATTTCGAGAAATAATAATACACATTCAAGAGGATTCATATAATAGATAACAAGAATCCAAATAGAAATAAGAATATGTATTTGCTGCAGGAGTTTGCTGCTCAATTTATATACCGAATGGAAATAAACAGTGTATTTAGAACAAGAATTGGTTGGTAAGCACCAACACCATGTTTGAATTCATATCAAAATCCAACCCACAACTAAAAGGATAACTTTCTTGGTACGCTTCAAAATTTCAATTGATTGAATTATCAATTATACAAGGCCTTAGATGAGTAGGCTAAGAAATTTCGTGATATGCTCAGATGTTCCACCATAATAATGGTTCTGTAACATAGCCTGCTCTTCCCTTGCCACTTGCACTAGCTCCAAAATCAGTAACATCATTAATCAGAACAATCCATATGAGCTAGCACCAGGTGGGTATTCAACCATGCACAATGATAACAGTACCTACATATAAAAATAAAATCAACAAATTTATAATAAATAATTGACTATATACACTTATCATCATACTCTGTATACACTTCTGATGATGACACCAGTGGGGAGTGGGTTCGTGCTATCTGCTATACATACCACCCACCTCAAAATAAACATAAACAAATTGAATCTACCAATGTGTTGACATTCATGCCCTGTTTGGTTTCTACAGGCGTTCCTAAAATTCCTGTCACATCGAATATTTAGACACATACATAGAGTATTAACTATAGACTAATTACGAAACTAATTACACAATTTGCAACTAATTTACGTGACGAATCTTTTAAGCCTAATTAGTCCATGATTTGACAACGTGTGTGCTACAGTAAACATGTGCTAATGACAGGTTAATTAGGCTTAAAAAAAACGTCTCGCAAATTAGCCTCCATCTATGTAATTGGTTTTGTAATTAATCTATATTTAATGCTCTTTATTAGTATCTAAACATTCGATGTGACATGAATTTTAGGAGCGACTAAAGAACCAAACACCCCCTCAGTGTGCTGTGATGACGCGGCCATGCCCTTCCTTCCAACAAGACCGGTGATTTTCAATATTTCTTTGTGCTGTTAGGCTATTTTATATAAAGAGTACAATGCAATGATAACAGGGAATATGAGACATTAGACAGAATAATGAAACTGAGGTTGGAGGTGCTACTCTACTGCACCAGATTTCTATATGAAAATTCAGAGTTGAATTGCTTGAGTCACAATTTGTATATGAAGTTATGAACCTAAACTCGACTCAAAATAATATGAGCATCAATCAATCAGAGCTCTATCAAAAATAGGAGCGCGGCAAATCAATTCCAGTTAGAGCACTGCAATGCTTATTCTCAGGTGTCGGTGACAATCTAAAAATGAAAATAGGTAGAAAACAAAAGATGTTAGTATATGTATGGCTATCTCGCTCATGCATTTGCACTAGAATATTGATGAAAGGATGGTTCAAACCCACTTTTAAGAAATCATTCTAGGCGTACATTTTCATCCCAATATGATCTGCTTCTTTGATTTGTTCATTTCCGAAGTGAATGCCACCAATGCTATAACCATGTGTTGGATAATAATGTTTGAGAAAATATAGTCTTTCTAAACTACAAATGGACCCTAAAATTTTTGACACTGCTTACCTTTGTATCCTCTTATTCGCAGACTTACAATTTGGGGATAGTATCTACATATGAAAAGCTCACTTGTAATGTCAGAATTTATTTAAGATGAAAGATCCTAAAGATAGCAACATGGATAATTTATTTTAATTACACCTCTTTTATTTTGTTGCCCTGTATAAAGACAACATCAATCTCAGCATGATCAATGATATATTAATTATGAAATTTAATGCATTACTTGTTTTTTCATTAAAAGCATATGTGTTCCAATATTTTTTTGTTTAATCTGAAACATTCTACGATGTGTGCCTACTATTTAATGGTCTCCTACTTACCTAAAGTATCATATAGTAGGACACAGATTAACTATATAGCCATTAGAAGCCTGGAAAATTAATAGTGGTTTGGCACACAGAAAAGATCTGATGGGGAAAATTAAATTTTGTACAAGTCACTTACGGTTACCACTATCCACTGAGGACAGTTTCCTCTGTAGATCTCGACTCAGGAACCCTAGTATCAATGTGTGGAATTAAACTGCACAATATCCTCTTAGATTCTCAAGTCTAGAAAAGAGACATTCCGTATCCTACAAACAGAAAGCCTGTCAACATACATGCAACAAATGCTATCAGAAACAACAGACCAATCAAAATTTCTAACAAAAAAAAGGCATTCCTGCCCTGCAAGGCTAAGCAAAAGAAAAACACATGTAAAATGATTTAAAATAAGTCTACTCAGGCCAGCGCCCGTCCCTCCGCAACTTTCTTTGCCATGGGGATGCTGCTGCGTCGCCGTCTTGGCCTCCTCCGCCGCCGCAGAGAGCGAACATATAAAATACAGTAAATGATATCAACTTGTATCCGTAAACATCCATTACAAGAACCACAACAGTAGAAGATGTTGGAAAGCAAAAGATGGAGGAACACGGGGTAGTCATTCAGGATTACGTACTGTCGGTGTTTCGAGTAAACACCAACAAGTAAATTTCTAATATTACGCGTTTGGCTCGGATGGTGTGCTAAGAGGACACGAGGTTTATACTGGTTCGGGCACAATGTCCCTACATCCAGTTCGTTGCTGCTGCTTGTGTTACTAGTATTGAAAGTTCATAGTAGGGGTTACAAACGGTCGAGAGAGGGACATGTCCCAAGTCTCTGGTGGAAAGAATGGATGGGTGCCGAGAGCTCGGTCGCTGCTCGGATATGTGTTCGAGGTTCGATGTTAGTGGTTTTGATCTGATGCGGTGCGATGCGAGTCCGATCTCGTCCGATGCCCCTTAATGGGATGCCCTGCTTTCCCTTTTATAGGCCAAGGGAAAGCACGGGTTACAATGGGAGAAAAGTGGAGAGCGAGAGAGAGAGGGAAGTCGGGGTTGCAGCACCTTAATCCCAACGGGATTCAGCACATGGTGGCGTTCGTCGCCCTTTGTGCAGGATTCCTAGGGATCAGCCCCCACTTTGATCTCTAGAGGTACTTCTTCGCCATCACCCTCCAGAAGAAGAGGGAGAAAAGTGGCAGGCAGGAGCTGCACATGTCGATGGGGTGCGTCGGCATCCAACTCTGGAACAATTGGGTCGGCGAGTACCCACCAATGCAGTGTCGACATCCAACAAGCGGTGGCACTCACAGTGGTTCTACCTCAAGAACGACGCCACCGCCGCCCTGTCGGAATTCACCGGGCGCCTGATCGAAGAGGCCCCAGAGTCGTGGAGGAAGTGGGGCATCCCGGAGAAGGACAAGAAGAAAATCCGGGACCACATCGCCGCCATCCAGATCCTCAAGGAGAAAGGCTTGAAGAGGTCGGGTGTCATTGGGGCCTACCACACAAGGAGGGTGGCGCCATTGATGACGTCGCGTGCTCTCACTTTATGTGATGGCGCCCGAGGCATCGTTTGATGGAATGACGCTCTCGAGGGGGCGCTTCC